TTTTTACAATTGTGCCCTTGTACCAACTTTTGAGACCCAATTCTTACAGCCTGGAGAGTGCATGTACCTGTGATGCTTAGCCTGAGCAAATTTTCTGACTATGATGGTGTGTGATAGTTAAGATTTTGTGTCAACTTGGCTGGGCCAGGATTCTTGTTTGGCAGTGGATATGTAGTTATCCCCATAGTGAGATGTACTCTAATCTAATTAATGCTTGGTGAAGTCAGCTATAAGGAACCAATCATTTGAAGGGAAGCTTCCTCAGCGGTGTGGCCTATTTCCAATATATTCGACACTCGGGTAAGGCTTGCTTGTTCTCTGCTGGGTTTAGATCTTGCATCTGGCTTGTCCTCCAACCTCTGGTTTTTTAACTTGAGCCACTGGCCTGCTGTAATACCAATCCTGGGAGTCATCAGCAGCCTGCCTTTTCACCTGCTGGACTTGACTGCCTGCCTGCTATTTGATGGCTCATCTTAGTTCATCTGACTCAGGTTTGGGACTCTCCCACCTCTATGATGATTGTATGAGTCATTTCCTTGATACATAATTCTCTTTATAGATACATACAATATTTCGGAGTCTTGGTGTGGTACTGTGAGTTAATGCACTGGACTGCAAAGTCAGTTTGAACTGCAAGGTCAGTGGTTCAAGCTCATCAGGCACTCCTAGGAAACCCTACACAGGGTCACAACTGACTCAATGGCACTTAACAATAACATATATGTTTCACTGATTTTACTTCTCTAGAGAACCCAGCCTAAGACAGATAGATGAGGAAGAAAGGTGTTGCAACCTACTTGTGAAAACCAGACAATAAAACCCTGCGGCACACAACTGCCTATTCTGCACCACATCATGGGGATGGCATAGGACCAGTATTTTGTCTCAGTGTGTATGGGGTCACAAGAGTCAAGAACTGACTCAAAGGTAATGAACCACAATCTGAACTATATTGTACTCAAAACAAAACCCATTGCCAATGAGTTGATTCTCACTCCTAGTGATCCAGTATAGACTTTCTGAGGCTATAAATCTTTCAGGGAGCAGAAAGCCTCAGCTTTCTCTTACAGAGCAACTGGTAGCATTGAACTGCTGTAGTTAGCAGTCCAGTGTTTATCCTGAAGTGCCACTAGATACTTAATACTCCAAACTTCTTTGTAATAATTTTATATTTCACTAACATGCTCTTGGGTGTGGCGCTGTAGGATAAGCACTGGACTGCTAACCACAAGGTTGGTGGTTCAAACTCACCAGCTGCTCCCTGGAAACCCTATAAAGGGTCTCTATGAGTTGGAACCGACTTGATGGCACTTAACAAATTATGCTCCTGAGCTTGCTTCATCTACTGTAAAATAAAAATACTATATCGTGGTGGCTGCTGAGCATAGTTTTGCAATTCTGCCTTTTCATGACATTGGTAGTCTGAAATTGGTTACCAATTTACACCATGGGCAAATACTAAAAATTGGTGCTTTTGCTTCTTCCTCTCTATGGTGAATCAGTTGTTAAAACATTTACCAGTAGCACACAAATTTGCCCGGGAGGGCTCCACAATCTGATCAGCTAATGTACAGACCACAGACTCAATTAAAAAAAAAAAAAATCCCTTCAGTTTTTATAAAAAAGTATCTTTCAGGGTGGTCTTAGAAATGGCATTCTTTCTGAACACTGTATGTCTTCTCTCTAAATAAGGAAGTGTCTTCTAATAAATAGAAAATTGTGTCTGAGACATTTTGGACTTCCCACAATTAGTATTTTCGGGAAAGGCTTATGGCGTTTTTTACTTTTTGTCCTTTGTCTCTTACATCAAATACTTTCTCCCATGAGAAAACATGTTACCCTGAGGCAGTAAGTACTGGTTTCAAGAACAAATAAACATGGACCAATCTGCTCCTGCCCACCTCCAGGAAGTGATTAAGTAGGCCCCTTGCAACTTGATGCAATACAAAGGCCAGATTCACTGACAAATGGTTTGGATGTCATTTGGGTCATTTCAGACATGAGGAGTATTTCATTCAAATTACTAAAAAGAATACCTAACTTGGGCAATGTGAGAGAAAAAAAAAAAATTAAGGCAGTAAAGTGTGTTGCACACAAGTCTTTTTAATTTTAATTTATCCAGTTTTTGAAAGCCTACATAGTCTACATAGTAAAATTGTCTGTTATTTGTTTTTTAACCTTTTTTTAAATAGTTGGAAAAAAAATTCCTTCAGTATTGTATAGTTGGTAACATATGCTATATTAAAACCACTATAACATGGAATACAAATAGAAATCTTTCAACAAACTGATGTAGCACTGAAGGCACTCACTCAGCTATGCCAAGTAATTTAGAAGACAGCTGCCTTGCCAACTGATTAGAAGAGATCCATATTTGTGACCATTTTAAAGAGAGATAAGTTAACAGAATGCAGAAATCATTGGACAATATCATTATAATATCACTGCAAGTAACATTTTGCTAAAGATAATTAAAAAAAAAAAGACTTCAACAGTTCTCTGACAGGGAACTGCCAGAAGTTCAAGTTGGATTCAGAAGAGGATGCAGAACAAGGGATATCATTGCTGACGTCAGATGGATCTTAACTGAAAGCAAAGAATACCAGAAAGATCTTTACCTGTGTTAATATTGAGTACATAAAAGTTTTCAATTGTGTGGAACATGACAAGCTATGGACAACATTGCAGAGAATGAGTATTCCGGAACACTTAATTCTACTCATGAGGAACCTGTACATAGACCAAGAGGCAGTTGTTTGAAGAAAACAAGGGAACATTGGATGGTTTAAACATCAGGAAAGGTGTGTGCCAGCGCTGTATTCTTTCACCATACTTATTCAATCTGTATGCTGAGCAAATAATCCAAGAACCTGGATTCTATGAAGAAGAATGTGGCATTAGGATTGGCGGGATGCTCATAAACAACCTGTGATATGCATATGATACAACCTTGCTTGCTGAAAGTGAAGAAGACTTTACATACTTACTGATGAAGATCAAAGACTTTAGTATGGGTTGAGAAAACAAAAATCCTCACCACTTGACCAATAAATAACAACCATATAAATGGAGAAAAGATTGAAGTTGTTAAACACTTCTTTTTGCTTGGATCCACCATCAACAGTCACGGAAACAACAGTCAAGGAATCACATAATGTATTACATTAGGCAATCTGCTGCACAAGACATCTTTAAAGAGAAAAGATGTCAGTTTGAGGATTAAGGTGCACTTGCCCCATGCATGTCATGGTATTTTTAACAGTCTCATATGCATGTGAAAGTTGGACAATGAATAAGAAGACCATAGAACAACTGTTACATTTGAGTCATGGTGTTGGAGAAGAATATTAAAAGTTACCATGGACTGTCAGAGGAACAAACAAATCTGTGTTGGAAGTACAGCCAGAATGCTCCTTAGAAGCTAGGATGGGAAGACTTCATCTCTCATACTTTGGACATATTATCAAGAGGGACCATTTCCCGGAGGACACCATGCTTGGTAAAGTGGGGGGTCCGTGGAAAAGAGGAAGGCCCCCAACGAGATGGATTGACACAGCAGCAGCAGCAATGAGCTCAAGCGTTAACAATGACTATGAGGTTGTCACAGGACTGGGCAGTGTTTTGTACTGTTGTACATAAGGTTGCTATGCAACCTAACAACATATGAGGAATTACTGCATTAATCTAAATTTGAGGAATACCAACTTTTTGTATATTTTCCATGAGAAATTAGCAAATACGATGCAGTAAACTGAGTCCCAATTTCACACATTTTCTACCAAATACTGGGAAACAGTAATGTAGCCAGTAAAATTTTAAAGGGTATTTCTAAGCACTTATGTGCATGATATAGTCATCAATTGTAACTTAGTCTTAATATTTGAGTGAAACTGAAAAATGTTATTTTGCTGTGCTCTGATTTCTGAAATATCACTCCCTAAGCGCTGTGGGTTAATGTGCTAGACTGCAAAGTCAGTTTCAACCTCAAAGTTCACCAGCTGCTCCTTGGAAACCCTATACAGGGTTGCTATGGGTTGGAAATGACTCGATGGCACTTAACAACAACATGCAGATTTATGGAGCAAAGTGGCTCTGTATGATAAGCAAGGGACTATGAACCGCAATGTACTATGAACCACAAGGTCAGCGGTTTGAGCCCACCATCTGCTCCTCAGGAGAAAGATGAGGCTTTCTGCTCCCATGAAGATTCACAGCATTGGAAACACTATACAGGGTCACTATGAGCTGGAACTAACTAGACATCACACAGCAGCCACAAGAAGCTGACTCAGGTACAAGGTTTTACTGTACTATCTTCCTCTGCTGTCTGGGTACTATGTGGATATAAGAATGCCACCCTGCTTTTGATCTACCAAAAAGGATGACGAACATTTCCAGTCTATACTTTATTTAAATAAAAAATAAATGGTACATATAGTTACAGGCAAATGGCATTTCAATACATTTAACTTGGTAATATAATGACATAGTCAAAAACACCTAGATTCTATTCAATATTTCAGTCTATGTAGTCAAAGTCTTCTGGAATTCCAAAATTTTTATCAATTTTATTTTCTTCCATTCCAAATTTTCTTTTGGCCCAAGACTTTATTGCAAATATGTTATCTATAAAGAAAATTGAGAAGTAAATTTGAGAATAAAAATAATCATAAAGCATTTCAAGTAAATGATGACCTTAACTGATCTTTTCCTTTCTTCTGTTACCTCCACAAATGTCAAAGGAATTACCTGTATTTTCAAGATTACAGAAAGTGAAAATATTTAACAAGTAAACCAATCTCATATTAAAAAAAAAAAAAAAAATTTAGGTAGTTAATTGTCACTACAGAACACATAGATTTAAGAATAATCCAGACACAGGGAACTGCCAATGATGTTTCTTCCACATTCTACAGGAAAGGTTAAATGCTGCTACCTCAAAAATTAAAAGTTGCTCCCCGCTCCCAAAAGGAATACATTCTTTTCAGCCCCTCCCCCCGCCGCCCCCAATACACACAGAGAAAGTAATGGCTTCCAGACAATCAGGCCAGTGTGAGGGAGAGGGGTGAGGAGGAGGGAAGGGGTCTTCCTCTCTTAGACTATGCCATGAACAGATGTGGTCTCTGCCTGCCTAGGGGGCATTTAAAAGGCATTCTACCAATGAAAATGTGTCTTATCTAGTTAAGTAAATTTATCTCAAGGAAATAAAACAAATTGCATACAAAGATTCTCATCCCTGTGCATAGTAAAAAAACCCAAAAACAATGAAAAGCCATCTAAATGTCTAATGATTGGGGAAGGCAGCTATGCAAGGCAAGTGAAGGAGACACAACAGCACAGATGCTTTGCTCACTGTAGCTGCTCTTTGGAAGGAGAATAAAAGTGTGCTTCCCCTCCTCTCCCCCACTTTACCTATTTTCTTATACGTACATATATCCTTTACAATGGAAATGTATTATAAACATGAAAAAATCAGAGCATAAGGTTTTATGGTGTGTCAGAGGATTTTTATAAAATGTTAAGCTCCATATTAGCAGTGATAATGAAGTAAGGACCTAAAATAGGCTCTTCTGGAGTTTGATCACTCTTTTTAGAAATTGTTTCTACAAACATTTACTTTAAAGTCAAATAATGATAAATTTCTGGAGTGAAGCTCATTTTTGAATAGTGTCAACAAAATATCTTCATTTCTTTTAATTAATGTGTTATGGGAAGTAGACAGATATTAAAATAAATCTTTACTTTTTGTTAAAAATCTAAAATGAATCTTTACTTTTTATAGCAGCCTAATAGAAAATACTATACTAATACCACAAAGTATTCCAGAATGATCTGTTTAGCCTTACCAGTGTTTGCACAGCCAGGGCATTCTTTTGAATCATAGGCAAATATTTACAGATGGGTTACTGGTACATAAAATAGCTCTTTAGAGTATTGTAGAAAGTAAAGAGCCTATGCCTTCAAGTTGACAATAGTATAAGAAAGAAAAGAAAAGAGAGAATAAGAAATTTAACAGTATTAATCTTTTACTAGATAATTTCCAGGTAATATGAAGGGGCTTCAAAAAGTGTATGGAATAATGGAATTTCTCCACACACCATTTGAAGCCCCCTTATACTTGTGCTAGGAAAGAATAAGCTTTATGTAGCCTATTCAGAATAGACCTTATATTCTGAAACCTACACATACATAATGTAAAGGTTTCAGAACAGACACCTGAATAAAGAAACATTTCTTGGAAATGAGAGAACTGATTTAACTGAGTAAGAAGTAGTATCAGGAGAGAAGAAAATGAAACACTCTTTTATAGCCTTTGCAGGGAGGTTCTCTAATTCAGAAGGGGGCAAGGAAGACTTTTATTATAAACCTTTGAAGATTAAAAAACAAACAAAACAAACAAACTCTGCACAATAAAGACTAATGGGCCAATTTAAAGACTGATTAAACATTTTCTTTGGACACTGCATGTCTGCCTTCAAGACAATGTAGCCCATAGTTCTGGAGCTCATTTCCTGTCAAAAAATTCTCCTATTAAGGAGAAATTTTTATAAAGGGATACAATATTGTTTTCAATACCTGTTGTTGTTCACTGCTGTTGAGTTGTAAGTCTGGTACAATTCTTGTTAATGTATACAGTGGCATATCCAAGATACATAAAGGAATCAGATGGGTAATCCTTACTGGTGAGTCCCTCAGATCTATCACCTCTCACTTGCTGATACTCCCCTCAGAGAAATTTATAAAAACCCCATCTATCTTAATTATTAAACAATTTCATATATTTTGTTAAAACCACATTCAAAGCACGTGTATTTGGTGCCATAAAGCCTTTAGACATGCTATTTCTAGGCATGTTTACACCCTGATTATAGATAATTTCTCATTTTATAAAACAATTATTGAACAGTAAGTATTCTTAATTTCACATATATTTTAGGACTTTTTTGTTTTTTAAGTAAAAAGAAGCAAAACCTTAACTAATAACTATATGGTAATTGAGTTTTAGTTCAATGTTGTGCTGTTTTAGTTCTTTGTTTTCAAGGCAAGAAGTTATGAGGTGTAATTTGCTGTATCTAGTCTCCATGATGTTTTTGCAACACATGTTTACGCTGGTAGGAATAAGCTGTAACCTCAATGGAAATATGGTTATTAACAGCTGTTTTTGTTTTTCCAAAACCATCTTTCCTACATGATTAAAATAGAAAGCAAAAATTAGCAGTTGAAAATATATTATCAATTGGAAAACATGAAAGGATTTTTTTAGAGGAGAAAAGGAAAAGGGAAATATTTATTTATGTACCTAATGCTGTGCTGGAGGGCTTACAAACAGTCCTCCCCAAATGCTGTGAGGTAGATATAATTCTTGACATTGAACAGATAAGGTAACAGGCTCACAGAAGTTCAAAGGTCACACAGCAACTAAGAAGAACAACTAAGATTCTTCTTCAAGCCATGTTTCCTCCACAATACACATATGCTGCTGGTTCTTCCTGCTTGCTGAGCAGCACTACTGGAAACTACTGGAGGAAATCACCTGGTGATACTGGACGCATTTCTAAACTAAAAATCCAGTTGCTTCTTTTTTCACACATAAAACTTTGTATTTCTCAAACCCACACAATGTCACTGTATTTACTCTTTATACTTTATCATAGTCCATGATTCTCTTTTCTTTAATGTTACTTTGCAATTTATTTCTCTCCTCTGCTCTTATCACAAAGCACCATATTATTTATGCAGGAATAAATAAGACTGTAATAAGACTGCAATTTGATAAAAACCAAAGGCCAGTTATATTGATTTTACCAGTATATTTAATTCCAAAATAGACAAGGAGAAAACGATTCTTAAAATTCTTCCGAAGTATAGATGCCTGGGCAGGGGGGTCAAAAAAACCTGGCTCAAATCTCCGTTCTGTTAGTGACTAATCATCTCTGCCTGCCTATAGTTGTTTTGAGATTTTTGTGTCTGTGATCAATGCAATGTTACCCACACTCTCCCAAGTACATAGAATGATGACTAATACATGTGAAGGCATTACAGACTCTCATCAGGATGCGAAAGTTCAATTACCATTATTTTATAATTAACACTGGAAAAACATCAGTGTAATTTTCTGACAGGTTTTAACATTACTCATCACATGTGTACATAATTCACAGCAATCAGAGTTTATTAACTTTCTCTTAAACTATGACACAACGTAGATAATGCTTTACTAATTCCTACTCTCTCTGGTGTAGACCAGAATGTGTCTCCATTTTATAAATGGATTAATAAGGCATTTACATGAAGACATGAAGAGAATACAGTATCACGTAGTGGTTAAGAGTTTCGGTGCTGGAAAGAGAAAAGCTATATTCTAATTCCTCTTCATTATCTACCAGCTGTGTAACCTTGGGCAAGTCATTTCTCCACTCAGGGACTCAGTTTCAACTTTAAAATCAAGGATAATAATCATATCTACCTCTCAAGATTGATGCGGAGATAAAATGAGAATGCAATTTAAACACCCATTAGAATTCCTAGCATATAGTCAGCCTTTAAAAAAAAAAAAAGTTATTTGTTATTTTTATTAGCAAGAAGACAAATCTTTAGGATTCAATAAAATTCGTAAAGATGTATCTTGCTTTACAATACATGCAGGTTAACTGACCAGTAGTAGGAGACTTATCTTGGGCAGAGTTACACAAAAGTTAAACTATAAGGAAGCAATCCATTGGTTTTACAAAATACACTGTACTTCATGAAATAATTTACAAGATTTAAAAAACCTGTTCTATAAGTAACTGAAGTTATGCAATCTCTTCATAACTTGATATCTACATACATTTTCAGAAATACCTTTCTTGACTAAAACTAGGCACAAAGGCACCTTCAATTTACAACATAGTAAGTGTGGTAAGATTTTTCCCTATAGTTTATCAATGCTATTTTAATACATACCAGTCCATCGGTTCGCAGCATCTTTGGCTACTATATTTGCTTGACCTGAAGAATTAAAAAAAAAAAAAAAAAGTATATATACACACACACACACACATATATACACATATATACATATGTATATACACACACACATATATGTAATTATATATTTATATTTTCTTAAATGAACAAAAGGTTAATACAAATAAAAGGTCCTTTAAAAAAAACAGCTTAAGCAGGGACAAAAACGGTATCTCACAAACCTGCCCAAGTTCCCAAAGTAACTCTTATCTAGGTGCTGTTATATTAGTGTTGAAGAGAAAGTTAGTTCCCTTTCCGAAATGTCTGTCACCATTGGACTGGCTCTTTTAAAGGCAACATGTAAGTGTAAATGAGATATGTTTCTCAAACAATAACCCTGACTTCAGAATAAATGTTATGCTAAGTAAATGAAGTAACCCTGTACAAGGAAATCTTTACTTTATGTCTAATTATGTTATTAGATGCAGTTGACTTGGTTCCAACTCATAGCAACCGTACGTACAACAGAACAAAACACTGTCTGGACCTACGCACAATTGTTCTATTTGAGTGCAGTGCTGCTGTCACTATGTCAACCCATCTTGTTTAAGATCTCCATTGTTTTTGGTGACCCTCTACTTTAACAAGTATGACGTCTTTCTCCAGGGACTGGTCCCTCCTGATAACATGTCCAAAGCACATGAAATGAAATCTCATCATCCTCACTTCCAAGGACAAGTTCCACGTACTTTTTCCAAAACAGATTTGTTTGTTTTTCTGGAAGTCCTTGGCATAAACAATATTTTTCATCAACACCATAATTCAAATCTTTCACATGTGAAAGACATGACTGAAAATATTAAGGCTTGGCTCAGGCACACCTTAGTCTTCAAAGTGAAATCTCTGTTCTTTAAGGTGGTATTGTGCAGCAGATATGCCCGAAGGCCACATGTTATTTGAGGCCACAAGAGACTTAATTGTGGGTCCAAGTAAAATGAAATCTTGGACATCTTCAATGTATTCTTTGTTATATTATTTATTGGTCCAGTTGTAAAGATTGCTGTTTTCATTATACTGAGGTGTAACTCATACCGAAGGCTATAGATTTTGATCTTCAGTGTTTCAAGTCTTCTTTGCTTCTAGCAAGCAAGATTGTGTTATCTGTATCTCAGGTTCCTATTGAACCTTCCTTCAATCCTGATGCCCTTCTTCATATAGTCTAGATTCTCAGATAATTTTTCATCATACAGATTGAGTAAGTATGGTGAAAAGATACAATTCTTACACACATCTTTCCTGATTTTAAACCATGCAGTATCCCTTTGTTCTGTTTACACAACTGACTCTTGGCCCAAGATGCTGTCCATGTTATGTATCATCAAGTCAGTTCTGGCTGACAGTGACCCTATACACAACAAAACAAAACAAAACAAAACACTGTGTTTTAATGTCTTGTACCATCCTCAAAATTGTTATGTTTCAGCTCATTGTTGCTACCACTGTGTCAATCCATCTTCTTGAGGTACTCCTCTTTTTCACTGACACTTGAAGCATGATGTCCTTCTCCAGGGACTGCCCCCTCCTGATCACATATCCAAAGTTTGTGATGAAGTGTCACCATCATGGCTTCTAGAGAGCATTCTTGCTATACTTTTGCAGCTTGTGCTTTTGATGTTATATCTAAGAAATCACTGTCTAACCAAGGATCAAACAGATTTATACCTATGTTTTCTTCTAAGGATTTTATAGTTTTACCTCTTTGAGCTGGATCTTTGATCTACTTTTAGATAATTTTGGTATATATTGGGTGGGAGGGTTCAGGAGTCATTCATTTGAATACAGCTACTAGTTATGTTGTTGTTGTTGTTATGTGCCATGGAGTTGGTTCCGACTCATAGCGACCCTGTACAGGGTTTCTGAGGCTGTAAATCTTTACGGGAACAGACTGCCTCATCTTTCTCCTGCGGAACAGCTGGTAGTTTTGAACTGCTGACTTTATGGTTCGCAGCCCGATTCGTAACCACTACGCTACCAGAGCTCCTTTAGCTAGATAGAAATGATGCTAGAGAACGAATGATAGATTTCTGCAAGACAAAT